GAGGCATTATGGGATTTCAAAATGGTTTTTTTCCTTTATTTAAACAACAAAAGTGTCCACAGCATCCTTTTCCTTCACATCCTCTTTGTGAAAACAGCCGTTCTAACAGGACAGGTGGAATAGGATTGCCCCGTGATTTCAGTTTCCGTTTTCCTGATGAATGACTCATATTGGACATTTCTACGTATCCTTCAGCCATTTGTATCTCTTCTTTCAAGATATTCCTGGTCGCGTATTCTGACCGTTGTTTATTACGTTATTTGTTTCTAGCTACTGAGTTATTTGTGTTCCTTATCTATGATGTATATTAGTCCTCTATTGGATACGTGGTTTTCAAATACTTGCTATTGATCTGCAGCACTCTCTGTGGGTAGTCAATCTTTCTGCTGAGGTGTCTCACTTCCCTGGAATTTCTTTTGTCTGTTTCATGTGCAGAAGAGTCTCCTTGTCTGGAACTCTTCTTTCTGCCTGTTTTACCTTTGAATTTTATCCAAACAATCTCCATTGAGATCAAGTACTGCAATAACTGTGTGTGTGTGTGTGTGTGTGTGTGTGTGTGTGTGTGTGTGAATTTTACCCTGCAGTTTTAGTTCTTACGTTTAAGGATTCCAGCCACGTGGAATCAATTTTTATATGAAGTATGAGGTAATTTCTAGCTTCATCTTTTTGTGCATGAATACCCACTTTTCCAAGTACTGTTTATTGAAGTAATGGCCTTTTGTCCTTTCCTCACTGAGTGAATGTTCTTGGCATCATTATTGAAAATCAGTTGGTAGGTGTCATTGGGGAAAAGTTGGTATAGACATAACCACATCAAAATTCCTCAAAGAAAAATAATAGAACTGTCATGCATTCCAACAACCTTATCTGGGTGTAACTTCTAAGAAACTTAAAATTGTGTGTGTGTGTGTGTGTGTGTGTGTAAGAGGTATCTATGCTTTCATATTCACTCGGCATTATCCACATACCCGTGTTATCAATGGATGGATGAATAGAAAATTTAGGCCAATTATTCACATGAATATATACATAACAGAATATAATACCACAATACGGATTTTAAAAAGAAGGAAATTCTGTTACCTGTTACAATACCAGTAGAATTGGCAGTCATTGTGCTAAATGAAATAAGCCAAGTGTACAAATACCAGGCCCACATGTTCTTACTTATATGTAGAATCTTAAAACAAACAAAAAAAACAAATCCATAGAAAACAAAGGGTAGTGAAGTGATTACAAGAATTGTCAGGAAAAGGGATGGGGTGGGCAGACGGAACACACTGACCAAAAACGCAGACCTGAGAGCCGCTTTAGTGACCCACTGAAAAGTGACTGCTGTTCACAACGATAAGTTCTGTGTCTCAAAATTGCTCTAGCACATTCTTTGATGTTCTCACTGGAAAATAATATAAATCGGTGATTCGATGAATGTGTTAATGAAAGTAATTGTCTTTGTACAAGATCAAGTCATCACACCAATGAAAAGTAACAAGAAAAAAAACCTGATAATACCAATAAGCAAAGTCACCTGAGCATTTCCTTTATATAGTGTAATAAAATAATGTTTTAAATAGAGTTGGATGCTATCTCCTATTAAGCCACATAGACATCACCAACCAGCATAGATTGTAGTCACCATCTTGATTATATAAGCATTGGGGTTCCTAGTGGTCACACAGAGTACACAGTTCCTAATGGAGGAACTGGGGTTGACAGTCAGTCCTATGAGGCTCCTTGGCTACACACATTCTTCACCCAGTGTCATACGATGCTTTCTCCTCCACAAATGAGGTCTCATTTTTTTTCTCTTGGTGCATATATGTCAAAACCCGCAACAACTTTCCCAAGATGAAATAATCAAACCATGAGGAAACTCATTTCCTCTTGAGTGGCCCCCTTGTCCCTGTGAGTTTGTTACAATACCTGGTGAGAGACGTCTCCAGGGAGAGAGGGTGGTAGGCTTTTCCAGCAGGGCTAGCCCCTCCAGGCAGCTCCAGTTCACATGTATCTCTGGTTTGAAAGATGTGGGTTTCAAATATATTTTCATATATCTGAAATATGAATACTTTTCATGTCAGTGCCTCTGTGTCTGGAGCACTGACTATTCTTGAGCTACTAGGCTTTGCTCCTTTTCTGACGCGTCTAAGTAGGAGGCTGTATAGAAGCCAAGCGCAAAGCATAACTCAGGGGTGGCAATACGGCAGCCCACCACATCTGCTGGTGAGCTGCATTCCTAATGATTTTCTCCAAATAATGCAAACACTATTTTTCCCTGAGAAAATGAAATAGCAGAGCTCCATGTTCCACAGATGATGGGGAGAACTCATAAAATATTTTAATCTTTCCTTGTCAGACTTCAGAAACACGGACAGCCTTGCCCTCATTTTCTTTATGCCCTGGACTTCTAATTGAGAGAGCTGGCATCAATTATGCATGTGAGTACTGCTGGGGAGGGTGCAGGGATAAATATTTGGGGGTGTCGTTAGCCAGACATCACTTCATCTTTGTGTCACCGTAATTTCCCATATCGTGCAGCTTTAGATTGGAACATATGGCGCCAAGGTAGGTAATGAGAACAACAATTTTCTGAAACAACATTATAACTTTTCCCTCTTTATGGTCACATTTAGTTACAGTGCATGCCGTCATTTAGGCATAGAGCTTTATGAAAGCAAATCTCCAGGAAGAGAGAATTCAGAGCAGAGGCCTACAATGGCCAAAGGCCTGGGGTCAGAGCAACCATGCAAGGTGAGAACTTGGTGGTGTGGACCAAGTTGATCTTGTTTGTAATAATCCCATTTTCACAGGGGTCTGGGGTAGCAAGGTTTTCTCAGTTTTCATGTTCCATTGGGACTGCAAGTCACCTGCTCTCCCTGCCATCTCAGGGACCACTCTGAAGAAGGTTATGGTCTGAGACAGACTGAGGTCATGATGCAAGGACCAAGAGCAATTGCTCAAGTGCATTTGACGTGTTTCCTTGAGAGTGCATGTGGGATATGCATTCCCCTTCTACTATGCACAGTGAGTCTCGGGCAGGGGCTGTTAACGGAGCAGCTGAGCCTAACAAAGATGCCAATTCATGTTAGGCACCTCTGTGGAGGAATCTGAAACTATGGGATACACAACAGGGCCCACCCTGCTCTGTTCTTATCACCACAGTGGGGCAGATCAGTCAGTCAACCAGCAAGCGAGCAAAGAAAGTCACCCCCACGGTGCTAAGATGAATATAGATTTTATTTTAGTACAAATCCCAGGCGCTATGCAATGCATCCTGGGAAATAAAGCTAGCTATTCAGGAGAGCTCAGTTTTTGAAAGGCCAATAATGGAGGGGGGAGGGGGAGGAACAAAAAAAATTAAGCAAACGAATGACAAAGCGAAAAGGTACAGCAGAGAGTAACAAGAAAAGGAAGGAAGGGAAATTTAGCTTAGCAAGACTAACACAAGCAAGAAAATGCAGATGAGGTTGGGGATCAGCCCATGCAAAAGCACAGGGAAGTTGGAAGTCGGATAGTAGTATACACTGGAATGGTTAGGGAGAGAAACCACACCACCAGTGTGGGATTGCACAGGGGTCAAGACGGGGGGGGGGACTGGGGGGATGGGGGTGAGGCAGGAGGGCGGGGACAGCATTTCAGAGGACAGAGGGAGAGACAGGCAGATGAGCCCACTGCAGGGAGCAGCAAGGGTGAAGTCCAGAAGGAGCAAAGAGCTCAGGTGTCTGGGGAGCAGTATCCCCACAGCACCTGTGCGGACCTTTGGGAAGGAGTGGTTTGGAGCTGAGGTTTCTCGGGATTATCTCAGGAAAAATACTGGCACCAGGAACATGGAGAGAATGCGTGTAACATGCGATTATTGTGAGTGGGGGGCATTTGGTCTGAGGAGAAGCTTAGCACTTGACTTCTCATCTTAGATAGGGTTCTTAGAGATGCCGGTGGGTAGGTCGGTATCATGGAAGGTCTCAGGAGATAACATGTCCAGTGGGGGCACCCAGTCTAGATGCTCAGAATCCCACCATAAATGCTAACTGCTAGTCACTATAATCTGAAGGTGCTATAGTTAAATAAAGCCTATTTTAAGTCTCGATAAGTCAGAAAATAGATCTACATTTTTAATAATAGTCTCTGCTCAGTGCTCCTACAACATCTGGCACTTGGTGGAGATGGGAATCAGTTCTTGTAGAGGTGAGTAAATAAGAAATGGAAGATTTGGAAGCCGGAGAGACGGATCAGTGCCTAAGAGCATTCGTATAGGACCTACATTCAGTTGCAAGCACCCACCCAGTGGCTCACCCTAGTCTATGTGAGGATTAAATGAGATGGAGTTTGTGTTTCATAAAAAAAGAATGTTTTAAAAAAATACTTTTAGCCAGAAGGCAGTCAGAGATATATCACCAAGAAGAAAAGCAGAAGTTATTTTCCAATGACTACATCCAGGAAATTCATCACCACAGCAGGAAACACAGTGCCCAGTGCCCTGTGCAGAGGCAGAAGCCAAAGGAACCATCACGGAACAGTGAGAGTTGTTAGTGTTTCTGGGAAGTGGCGAGTGCGGCCAAACCGACCGTGGCGTTCTCTTTTCTTCTAAAAGTGCTCAGTTTGAAATCAAGCAATGAACGAGTGGCCTGAAGATAAGTCATTCTTCTGGTAGGGTGCACAACAAGAGGCAAAGTCATGGAAGAGAATTCCGCCCTTGAAGGCTGGCCCTTCCCGGGCAGCTGCTGGCATTCTGCTGCTCCTTGCTCAACAAGTGCTGGGGAGAAACCCCAGCCCTCAACAGTTCTGTGCTCCCAAACAGCACAGGCCCAAATCTGCAGAAATCAAAGCTCAGGCTACAACAGATCCCAGGTCCTACTTAGGAGCTCCAAGGCCTCCCCTTCCTGTGCTCTCCCACCTCCTCCGGGGTGAATGGACTACAGAGACTTCTCACTCACAGTCCATTGTTTGAAAGTTTGTGTCATACACATATTGATCCTGCCCCCTGCTCCCAAACAGAATCTAGATGTTGAAGTACTCCTTTAATCAAAAGTAAATTATGTACAGGCCACGGCGGGTCAGTTCAGCCAGCCTCGAACAAAAGGCAATCCATCACTTATTCCTAAATGTCAGTGGAATCTGAGGGTCGATACAGGCGCCAATGTGGATTATGTTTATTATTTTTCTGTAAATATCAATGCTGAGAAATTGTTGGAGGGAGCACACGGGGCCCTGGGAAATCAGAATATCACCAGGGGTTGTGGTTGGGTGGGGGAATCAGAAAATAACTGGGGTACACAGTAAGATGGTGGAATCTACAATTAACTAAGTTATGTGGCAGTGGAATGGTGCATATGGTCCTAAACAGATCATAGCCTAGACATGGCAAATGGTCGTGGCTGTTTGTCTTAGTTTCTGTCCTATTGCTATGGGAAAACACCATGGCCAAGGTGACTTATAAAGGAAGATATTTAATTGGGGGCTTACTTATAATTTCAGAAGGTGTGTCCATGATCATGGTAGGAATCATGGAAGCAGACAGGCAGACATAGTATTGGAGAAGTAGCTGAGAGCTCACATGTTATTCTAAAGCTGCAGACAGAAGCTTGGGAGGAGAGAGAGATAGAGAGATAGAGAGAGAGACAGAGGCAGAGAGACAGAGACAGAGAGAGACAGAGAGAGGAGGTTTTATGGAGATATTAGGTCTGTCACAGGCTTTTGAAATCTCAAAGCAGACACCCAATAACACACTTCCTCCAATAAGGTCACACCTATTCCAACAATACCTCACCTTCTAAATATTTCTACAAACCGGACCAAGCATTCAAACATATGAGCCCATGAGGCCATTTTCTTTGAAACCACCACAGTGTGCTGGAGAAACCCAGCAAACATTTGAATACACAATACAAGAAGCATCTAGGGGTTGAGGGCAGAGAGGGCAACTGTACGGCCCAAGGCAAATGTGCAGACACCCAAGTTATATGGGTAGATGACCATGGTGCGTGGGTATGGGACTCTTTGTGATAGAAAGATCACAAGCTTCAGATCTGACACTCCAGGGCCTTAAAACTTAAATCAAAGATCTTGCATCTTGTTTTATGAAGTGGGGTTAACCAAAGCAGCTGCATTGGTTGGGATAGGTGAGATTTGGTTGCAGTAACAAATGAATCCCGCATCTCTGAGGCTTAAAGGGAGATGTTATCCTTTGTAGTTATTTAGGTTGTTTTGTGTTTCGAGAGGGTTGGGTTGTGGAAAAAATTCATTACGTAGCTCAAACTTATGATCCTCCTGCCTCTACTTGGATTACAGAGGTGCACACACGCCTAGCTAAAATAGACTTCATTTCATTTCATACCTCTTGTCCATCCCTGATCAAGGAGAGGGGTATTCACTCAGTTGTGTGTTTGTCTTTCCTCTGGAACAGGGAATGCTCTATTCAAGCTGTTCACACAGTGTGATCTTCCAGTATCGAGGGGGTGACCATTCATAGTCTCCAATCATCACTCCTAATTCCCACAGAGCCCCCCAGTTTTGGGGTGAATAAAAAGGAGAATGTTAATGTAAAGCATAGCAACAGGGACATGGCAGGAAGTCATTCAACATCTGCTGGCATTTTCTCAGTCCTCTGCCATCGGGCTCTGAAGGCTGGATCTGATCTGAGACTTGAAGATAGGTGTCACTGTAGGTCAGATAAAGGAGGGTGAGTGGGCTTTGAAGATTAACGTCAAACGTGAAGAGCTGAAGTGATGACATCCTCCTGGAGGTGGTGAGAATACTTCCATCAAGTGACTATGGAGACAATTTGTGTCTACAGATTCACATGGGATCTTGCAGTTCTGAATAAAAAAGAAAATGCAAAAAAATAGAAGATAGAAAATCAGGGTAGAGGTGTGGAAACCTAATGGCTGAGTATTCAGAGAGAGAGTGGCATTGCCGCTGCCTCCAACTCCTGGTGTCCCTTCCTTCTCTTGGCACCTTCATCTTCAAGGGCAAATTTGTGGGTCTTCTGTTCTAGATAGGGTAACACAAGACCCCACACCTAGGGCCATCACTCACGCTATCAGAAACTTTGCCCTCTCACTTGTAAAAAACAGAAGCATCCAAATCCATCACCTATAAGGTCTGTTTCCAAACCAAGCTTCCATGTTTCTGAAGAACTCCAGCCATGATCAACAGTTACTCTCCTGTGTAGAAGATAATTCTAATCAGAGGATCTTAGAATTTTCAGTTCTTTTTATGCATCCTTGTGTTTCATGGGGTTAATTCTACAAAGCACTAAATGGCAAGTGGGGGGAGTAAAATAATAAAAATAGAATGTACGTAAATTATGGGAGTTATTTTAATGTATTTGAAATAATTAAAACAGTGAACTCAACTTGGATTTTGGCATTTTGAGGTCTGGGGAATCCTCTTAGACCCCTCAGATGGCTCTCTCCAACCTTGGTGAGTGGGGGGTCTAAGGGAATTATACAAGTTTGCTTGGAAGCAATGGTGACCAGTAACACCTGGCTCCATATTACCTTCAGGGTCCTCATCACTGAGCAGAGCGCATGACTTAAATATATGCTCCGTGAAAGTCCGTAGAACCAACACAAGCCCTGCTGAGGGAAAACTGATCCCACTCTGGACTCCACTCACAGCCTCTTCTAATCTTACTCTTGTCAATCAAAGTTCTGTCCCTCATGTGTGTCTCAATATTTCTCTCTCCCTTGTCAGTCAACACTGATAAAACTAGTGCATACATAATCTTTAGCACAGGAACTCACCTAGGTTGCAATAATCTTCTTTTCCCATCTAGTGTCCAGACTTGTAGGCCAACTCCTGAGAGGTAACTACTCCTTAGATATATGCAAGAAGTTTATCCTCTTGTAGCGACTTCCTCCCAGACCCAGGGAGCTCTTTGGCTTTCCTGGTCAGCTTTTGTCGGAATGGAAATTCTCAGAAGTAAAGTCTACCAGAGCACTGTGTGTTCTCAGTGGACTGTTTTCTATTACAGAGGGCTCCAAGGAGAGGCTGTCCAATCGACGTTGCTGGCTGGGGCTTTAGACACCTGCCCTGTTTGTGGCGTAAGTGGTGGCAGGCATTTTTTTTCCTCACACTGTCCTCGGTTTGAGATAAGATAAAGCAGTTGCCTTCCTTCTCCCAGATGCCTTGTGGGGTTCCCCTGCGTCTCTGGGTCCTGCAATGGAGTGAAGAAAATGCAAAGTACCAAGACAGGCAAGAAAGGGTGGCAAACCGGGCGTTGGTGGCGCACGCCTTTATTCCCAGCACTCAGGAGGCAGAGGCAGGTGGATCTCTGTGAGTTTGAGGCCATCCTGGTCTACAGAGTGAGTTCTAGGACAGCCTCCAAAACAAAAACAATACAGAGAAACTCTGTCTCTAAAAACCAAAAAAAAAAAAAAAGAAAGAAAGAAAGAAAGAAAGAAAGAAAGAAAGAAAATGGTGGCGTACCTCAAGGGTGGCATACCTCGTTTATATGTATTTCTTCCACTCCTGATACTTTCTGATCTTTGCATATGACTTCTGTCGCCTTGGAGAGGACCCCAGATATTTTTGCACATTGACTCTGTGACCTTTGAGGTGCTTCTTCTGGAAGGACCCAGATGTGCTGCGACAGCGAGTTTTTCTAGGGAAATGCCATCTAGTGGCCACTATGGTGAACTGCAGCCTGCCTCTCAGCCGGCCCGTTGCTAAGGGCGGCAGCTGCAGCCGTTCATCTCCCTGTCTGAAGGCAGAGAATCATGGGATGTTTACACTGAGAGCGACCTCCAGAGATTTCTTGTCAAGACATCTGCCTCCAACCAGCACGAACAATATGTCTTATGCTTATAGTGTTGTATAAAAACAGTTACAAATAGTACCACGTTTTAATTCTCACACCAGCCCCATGAATTCTGATGTAGTCATTATTTCCATTTTAAAGATGAGGCAACGATCACTCATGATTTAAGCTTCTTGGACAACAACAACAACAGAAATCACAATATCTCCCTTTCAAGTCAACCGTTTGCTGACCTCAGGAAAATATGTGAGCATTTGGGGACATAAGAGACTGAGCCGCCCAGTCTCACACCCGTGTTTTTGCTGGAAAAAAATCAAGCCAGTGTTTGGAGCTGGTTTTACATAAGCAGTTTTCAGTTGCAAGTGAATTTATTCTACTTACAGATTTATCTTCAAATTTCTCCGTCAATGGGACAAATTAAAGGGTCTTGGTGAAGGGGTTAGGAAGAATTGTCATGGGTCAACTACGGGGAGGGGGGACCCGAGTTCAGCAGCTGGGCTTGTGGGGCACCTGGGAACACAGGAGGAGAGAGAGTATCAGAAGAGGTCTTGTAAGAGGAAATTAAGCCGGATATAACCCCGATGTGAAATCACTGGGCACATCTAAAATCCCTGCTTTAAATATTCAGCAGTCTTCAGGGAGAAAACGAATTAGCCAATAGGGTCATCTGAAGGCAGAATGAAAAGAGGGTTTGAAAGCAGAAGAAGAAAAAAAAAAAAGAAAAGAAATCTACCATTCACTTACTCAGCAACTTCATTAGAGGCTCTAGTTTCTGCGCCCTCTGACCTACTCCTGTGTGCATATGCTTAAGCATGTTTGTGTGTGTGCGGGTACATGGGATGGCGGTGCATGTCCAAATGAATGCATACGAATAGAGGCAGAGGCCAGGGCCAGCACCGGGTGGGTGTCCTCCTCAGTGGCTGCCCACCTTGTGTTTGGAAACACAAGTGTTTTCACGGACCCTGGAGCTCATTTGCTTTGGCTAGCCCGGCTGGTTAGCAAGTACCAGAGATGCTCCTGTGTTTGCCTACACGGCCCTTGGGTTACAGGCCTATACAGCCACGACCAGGCATTCACAATCATTCAGCAAGCACTTTCCTGGCTGCGTCTTCCCTCAGCCCGGTCACCCACTCTTGTTCTGGCCCAGCCCACCTACCACCTACTGTCATTCCATCCTTCAAACTGGAAAACAGAGCCCTTGGTAACCTGTGTCACCCCAGGATTCTCTTAGGTGGAGATGCAACCCTGTGTGCTTTACTGTTAGAAAGGAAGGCATTGTTAACAGAGACCTTGACTTACTGGCTGAGATGGCAAGCTTGGGATGTTTGTGTTTTCAGATGGCTGTTTTTTAAATTACAGACAGATGAAGGAACAACACTCTGAGGGGATGTGTTCAGGGTCGGTCAAGATGACCATGGTGTGCTGGTACTGGGCCTAATACCCAGAGACTCCACACTGATGTGTGCCAGCCCTGATTTGTCTTAGCAGCAGGGATGCCTCCAGGAGCACCTGCATTAAGATCTCATGTTCACTCACAAACCTTGTTAAAGGGTTTGTTATGAACCAGACATTCTGGGTAAGTTATTCCGCACTTGAGGGACTTTCATGATAGATCCCCAAAGGCTGTCTCCTCAATGCGTCTTATCTAAGGCTCACAAGAGCCCCAAGAGTGCTGGGATTTGAACTTGTCATTTTTACAGAGGCAGAAATGTGTTTATCTTTCTCTCCATATCACAAAGCACTTCTTTCCAGCTTTAAATCAAGCATCTGGCCCACCCTGTCTATAACGCCTTTCCTGATTTTCCCTGCCAAATATTCATGCCAACATATCGATTTCATTCCTAATGCTGCCAGCTTGGTATTGTGGGAAGAAAATAAGTCTAATATGAACCTGTGCTCAAATCTATTCTTCACCACTCACTGGATTGTTAACCTTGCTTAAGGCCCATTATTTTACTTTCCTCACAAGATAAAGGGTATAATGAGGGCATGATAAGAAGTCCACAACCCCACCCCCCCTTCAGGGGGTGGGGGCTGCATCTTTGGCAGTATGCCTTTATGTAAATGTGGCACAGAGATCCTATGAGCTGGGCAGCAATGGTCTAGAGAAAAATCTCTCTGGAGTCTGGAGTTGTAAGAATTTATTATTCTTAAAACTCTGGGCTCAGCTGTTGATAAACCATCCTGTCTGTTTTGAATGGAAAAGGCGGTCACATTAGGTAGATAAGGAAAACAAACAAAAAACCAAAACAAAACTTAGTTGGATAAGGTGGGTTATCAGTTTAGACTTAGCAGAGAGCCATTTCCATGCCTGTCAGGACTTTCTTAGCAGCCCTGGAAAGCCCAGGTCTAAGAGAAATCTTGTGTGACCATTTAACATATCCCAGTGCCCCAAGCCAGGTGACTCTGGGGACAGCTGATGACTCCTGAGTAGCTGTCAGTGAGGATGTGGCATCACCTTGAGCATCTTCAATGCAAACGGCCAAAAAAAGACTAGAAACTTGAGTTGCCTTCTCCATTTCCTCAGTGAAAACCACACAGTTGAAAACAGCCAGCCTGCTCCAGGGAGGACACTCTTCATTCCTCCAGGCGGCTGCCTCCTTGTAGACAGGGTCTGAGCACGGAGTTCTTCTGGGAAGCTGCCACACAAAAGCAGCCCTGCCTGCTAACAAAGCTGCCCTGTTGGAATGGAAGGCTGGGTGCAGACATCTCTTCCACCAAGGAAAGAAAAATGATATGAGGGCGGCCTGGATGGGAACGATATTTCAGGCATGGCTAGCTGTTAAAAATGAGCTAATTCAGAAGAGGCACATTTAAATAAATATAATGCAAAGGCACAATGGCACAAGATAATAGTTCTGAACGGGGAATTCTAATGACTTCAAGAGCGTCTCACAGGGCAATTAATACACATGGCCAGGCTGCAGCAGCACTGGGCAGAGGGAGGGGAGGAGCATGTCGAAGCAAAAGGGGGAGGGGGGTACCGAAGCAGCTGACAAAAATAGGATTTGATTTTCTTTGCAGAAGGAGTAATGCTTACAAATATAATAAAAGAGGAAAATAAGTGTGTCAGGTTTTTATAATTCAACTTGTAAAATTCAGAATGATTAGTTTTTGAAGAGGGCAATTAGTCTTATTTTGCATATTCATGAAGATTTAATGAAATGGGGTTGAGTTTTCGCCATTCTTTTCCAGTTACCCCCTTTATTACCCTTCCCCCATCACAAACTAAAACCATATCTGATACTCATCAAAGGGAAGCTTCTGTCTCTCAACAGTTTCTAGGCTGATTACTACCTACACATGCCCAGGGTTCCCTTTAGGAAGTTACTTATTAATAAAGACACCCAAGCAGTGATGCGGTCATGGTGGTGTGTGAATCTGCAGGAAGTTTTGATGACAGAAAAGTAGAAGATTTACTTAAGGCAAGAGGCTGGCCCCTCCCCCAGACAGAGGGCCAGCTGCTTTGGGACGGAGAAGGCAGAAGATAGATAGGAAAGACTCAGATGGAGAGGGAGGCCAAGAGGAAAGAGAAATGACATAGAAGGAAAGAGAAGGATCACAGGGAGCTAGAGAGACAAAGGAAGGAAGGAAGGAAGGAAGGAAGGAAGGAAGGAAGGAAGGAAGGAAGGAAGGAAGGAGGGAAGGAAGGAAGGAAGGAGGAAAGGAAGGAAGGAAGGAGGGAGGGAAGGAAGGAAGGAAGGAAGGAAGGAAGGAAGGAAGGAAGGAAGGAAGGAAGGAAGGAAGGAAGGAGAGAGGAAGGAAAAAAAAGAAACCGAGGTCACAGTCCAGTTTGGAAAAGATACTAGAAGATACATTTTTTCTCTTTTTGTGTACAAGCTTTTTAAGTGTTGCCAAGAGCAAGACACCTAGGAACCAAGAAACAAAATGCTCCTAAAGCAACAGAGTCAAAAGCCACCTCAGAAAACAGAAACTCTGGTGGCTGAGGTGATCTAGCTGGCTACCTTCTCCTCGGTACACTGATTTCTGTTGTGGCTATGTGTTTGTTTGAGTTCTTGTTTTAACTTAGTCACTTTCTTAATGTTTGCTACCAAGAAAGTCTTCAGTCAGCTTCCAACTTCCAGGCCTGGCATTCTCCCTCCTTTTTGAGTCAGCATAAAGTTTCCCGGCTTCCAGATACTGCCTTTATTTAGGTCCTCCCACTGTGCAAATGTTTTGTTTCAAAATGTTCCTCCCATTTCTACCTGCACACAACAGATCTGCAAAATCCTGAGAGAAAGTGACAGCTTTAGCAACTCCAGCATGCCAACATGTGGACTGATTTTTGTCTGCATAGGAATTTGCCCATGAAAAACTCAAGGCTTAGCCGGCGAAGCTTCTTTTTTGCAATGAAACGCAATGAGCTCAGGGACACGACTGTTCACAGTGCTGAGAGTGAGGGAGGTTGAATGCTCAGTTATAAATATGACATTTATACCATCAGCTCTAAGGTTCAGAGAACACTGCAGAAGACCAGGAGAAAGAACATAAGAGGTAAAAGACAGGAGAGACTGTGGAGTCATCTTCTGGACATGATACAACCATTCGAATTACAAAAGCACTGCAACCATGCTTACCTATCCAAAGTCTGCACAGAATGGACCAGTCAACAGCCTACCATAGATACGGGTCTCAAGGGGCCCAGACCCTCTACTGAGGAGTCATTGCTCTTGGTTTCATGGCCACTGTAGAGACCATGGACTGGATTAAAGCCATTGGGTTTCAAAATAAAACAATACACACACACACAGAGGGGGGGGGTGCTTACAGGGAGAGAGAAAAGGGGAAGTAGGGGTGGCAAAAATTATTAGAATGCATTGTGTACATGTAGGAAAATGCCAAAGAACCAATTTAATAATAAAAAAATCCTTAAGGCCAATAAATTCATCGCCCAATGTCGCAGTTCCAGTCAGAGGTAGAGCTGGTACCTGTATGCCCCAATGTTCCCTGTAGCTTTGGCTTCCCAGCTTCTACATTTTGCCTCTATTATGGGAGATGTTTCTACTCTTTGGAAGGAGAAAACGTTTTTTGTGTTTTTTTTTTAATTCCCTCTGATTCTGGAAAAGAGAAGGGAAACTGGACAAAGGCAGCAGAAAACAGTAAGAAAATGTTTATCACCGCCAATGGTCCTTCCACTAGGGGCCTTGCCATGAAGCATGGCACTCTGCTCCCTCCCCTGTGCCTTCACTTTGCTTCTACGAGACCACCAGGATTTTGCATATGCCAGGCCAACACCCTATCTGAGCTGCTTCCCAGTCCTGTATTTAATTCTGCTGTTCGCTCCTAGGGAGCTACACTATACTTTCCAATTCCATTTACAGCACCAACAAAGCAAGTTGGCATTTTGGACTTGATTTACTTTCATCGTTTCAAGAATTAAAAACAAACAAAATAAAGAGTGTCATCCGTTGGATACCATCAACCTTCAGTGTGAGTTCATTGAGGGCCTCCTGGGACCAAGCCAGGAGGTACATTACCTGGGGATAAGGGAGTGTGAGTGCGTGTCTATGTGGGTATGTGTCCATGTGGTAGTGTATCTGTATGGGTGCGTGGACACGCTAGCCTTGTCATTCAACAACTTGTGAATTGTTGTAACAGTTACAGGGGTGAACTGAGATCTAAGAGTGGAATCTTCAAAACCTCAATTTGGTATCTAGGCCAGAGAATATGGGTGCTGTACTTGCCATTGTGTGTGTGTGTGTGTGTGTGTGTGTGTGTGTGTACAGAAAGAGCTATGGCTGCAACAGACCCTCTGATGTCAGCGATTCCCTTGAGAATCACAGTGTCTGGCACGTGCCTTGAAGCAATATCAAAACCAGTTGCTAGAATCCTCCCCTAAATGACCACGACTATTTCAGGTCTATAAAATCTGATCGTTCGACACACTGAAAACTGGGAAATTCAGTTAAATTCAGGGAGAACGAATCCCTTTGGTCTGTAGATTCCTGCTAGAAGTTCTGACTTTAGGTGCAGAGTATAAGGGGGGTTGTGTCTTGGAAGCCTATCCTTCCCCCTGCCCCATGAGGTCCCTTGCCCAGTGCCCGGGGCTGTCCTTTTCTCTTTGCCACCACTGAACCCCTGCCCTGGAATGGAGTATTGGTTTCCTTCTTTGGCCTCTGTGGCGACCCACTGAGAAGCTGCCTGCAGAGAATTCGCACTCTCCAAAGGTTGCTGCACGCCGTCCTTGTGAGGAAATAAGACTTCACAGTGCATGACCGTCTAATTCATAAATAAATATTACACATGTTCCCAGGCGGCCCATTAGCCAGTTATAGCAATCAGCATCTCAACCAATTAAAGTCCTTTGCAAGACCTAAGTCTGTTGGCTATAGAAACACGAGAAGCCGGCTAGCCCAGCAGGTATACCTGAGTGCAAAAGACACTCTGCTTCAGGAGAAGAGGGAGCTGGCCATGGGTGGAAGGGTAAAAGACGTAGGGTGTATCTGTGAGGTAACTGTCCAGAACGCAAAGATCTGGGGAGAAGGTGTTTCTATTCATCCTATCTATAGTGAAGTACTCTTCCAGGACAACGAAAGACTATAAGATCTGTTCTAAGTGCTTTTTTAAATATTTTATTTTATTTTATTTGTAGATTCCTTGAAAGAAGTGTCCTGTCTTGACTGTTCTATTTTCATGGCATAGCATACTGCCTGCCTGGCATATAGTTGGTAGACATTTACAGTGAAAAAAAATAGTCTAGCTAGGTGTGATTGCACACATATGTTATTCCAGTGTTCCAGTGGCTGAGCAGGATGACTGTGAGTCTGAGGCCAAATTAATCTGGTATAGGCTATACTGGGTCACATAGGGAGACATTGTCTTAAAACAAAACAAAATTTAGAAGTAATAATCATCATCATAATAAATCACAAAGAGCAGACAGTCATTATTTCCATGGTCTCAGTGAGAGCCAGATCTTACATGCATGGGCACCTAAGAGAATTACAGTCCTAAATTCTACTTTGAACTTCTTCCTTTCCTCATTGGAGAAGACTTCCATTTACACTATTCCAAACCAAGAAACCCTGCTGTATTTACTCTCTGTTCAGAGCCTTTCCCAGGGAAGCAGATTCCTTCAGTACTAGGAACCCAAGGCTTTTCAGGAACCCAGTCCAGGGGACAGTGGAGGGTCTGGGATTCCCACCCTGCTGGCTGCCAAGAGGTCTGGCTGTGCTCCCAGCAAATGCATGTATAAGTCCTCCTTCCTTCCCCCATCTCTCTACGGGGCTGCCAGGACCCTCCACATGGAAATCTGCTGCCTGTGAAATTGTACTGATACAGCGAAGGGAAAGGAAGCGCAAAAAATAACTTCCCTAGACAATCAGAGCAGATTATTTTAATGAGGGTTTGGAAATGGGAAACAAATGATACCAAATTAGCCTTGCTCTCGTTAGTCAACTGCGCGATGAAGGCCTCAGCCTTTGCCTGACTCAGCAGTGAGTGAGCTTGGGCTGCCACTGGCTTCGGGAAGTTCCTCACAAGGGTAGTGTGTGTCTCTCTTGGCTCCCCACACCCTGCGCCCCACATCCTGACAGAGCAGATCCTTAAACACACGTGACTCCAGTCAAGTCACCTCTTCAGGAAAGTTTCTGTGCTTAGAAGCACAGATACATGTAGGAACAGGGGTACCAGAGGCCCCTTGCTGGACACAGAATGGCAAAAGACAGGAGCAAATATTTCCAGTTTGCCAAGCGCTGCCCCAGACCAGGTGTGCTGCATTCAAACGGGTGGAGGGGGCAGTTTCTGTGCTATACTTCTCCTCTGAGGTGACCAATGTTGTTTGATGACACTTCTGGGGTCATCAGTGGCCGGAGTGGGGGGTGGGGTCACTGGCGAGGTTAGGGATTCAGAGGTTACTGCTGAACAATTCACCACGGAGCCTGATACACTAAGGGCGGCAGGATGGGGCAGATCTGGCTTTCCGAGGCTGGGCCTGGGGTCAAGGGGCAAACAGCAAGGACTACAATAGATTATTATATTAAGCAAACGAAATTGTTTCCCCGCTGGAAGGAAGGAAAGTCATTAACTCGGGAGGTCCAGTTATCAGGAAAATGATATCACATCTACAGTATATTTTGGATTGCAATTTAAAAGGGAAAATTGGAAGAGAATGTGATGGAGGATGGAGGGTGTGGATTGACAGCTCTGGTGGGGGCATCTGGAGCACACTGCTATGCCTGCCTTAGTCTCTCTCTCTCTCTCTCTCTCTCTCTCTCTCTCTCTCTCTCTCTCTCTCTCTCTCTCTGTGTGTGTGTGTGTATGTGTGTGTGTGTGTGTGTGTGTGTATGACTCAGTTCATCTTCTTTCCTTCCTTTCCTAAGAAGAAGGAACCACAGGGAATATACAGAGGCAAGTTCAACCCATTCCAGGTTCTAAAACCTTGGGGTTAAAGACCTTCCCCTAGTCTACACTAACTCTTAGCATGTAGGAAATTCCTGGGGTCTCCTGAACAACTGACTGTTAATCTTTGCTACTTTGGAGGTTACTTATGTTAAAACAGTATTTTTTTTAAAGAGGAATGGAGTTAGCACAGAATTAAGGAGGTATTCCTGACAGAATTGAAGAACTTGTGTTAATTATTCAACTAAAATGTTTTTGGCTGAGTGTTTACCATTTGCAGAACCCCGGACTCTGTAACACAAAAGATAGAACTGTAAACATGACCTAAATATGCCCCAAAATATCAGAAGCTAAGCAAGCAGACGAGAGATACACTTCAGAATAATCCAGACATATCAGGCTACTGCTGGTCTCAGGCACTGAAGAAGCTATCTTGTGACATCACGTCACAATCAGCCCACTCCTGATTTTGCTTCCCACTAGGGAATGAGTCAACCATGAGACCAATTCATTTTGATTATTTTTTTAAGAGTTAAAGACCAACTGGGCAGAGTTCTGTTCACTTGTAAAACTGCAAATTATACCTACTCAGGTAATTACATCGTCAACAGGACGGAGCCACGCATAGGGCTGAACCCGTGAGCTTCAGTCTTCTCTAGCCCATGGCAATTAGTTTCCTGAAAATGCTGTTGGCTTTCTGGTTCTGCTATGTGGCTTTAGTTGGAAAATATGCTTATCTGCTCCAGTCTTGAGTAATTGTGAAAATTAGGTTTGATGTCAATCTGGTGACATGATATCAAACCTATAACCCAAAGAAGGACAAGGAGAACAGTCTTTCAGGAAGAAGCATGCATATGGGGAGGCCTGAAGTAGAGGAGGGTGACGCTTAATGGGTGGGCAGGCCATGGGAAAAGGCTGCAGATGAAGGGAGGGGATAGAACAGGGTTGATTTCGAGGACAGAATACACAGACCTTTGTGAGATGGAAACTTAATAGGGGGTTGGAATGGGGCTGATATATTTTGTTTTAAAATTCATCTTGCTATGGAAGAATGGATCAAAGTGTAGCAAGAATGGAAGCAGGATGCTAACCAGAAAAATCCAGTTATGCACTTAAGAAAAAAAAAAGTAGCTTGATCCAGGATGGAGACATGATCGATAGGACTCTACAGTCTCTCTGGACCAGAACTTGCTCAAAGTCACCGTCCATCTGTTTTACTGAACTAGTACTAGCCAGTTCCACATTACGTATGGCTGCTTTCTTTTGAATGGGAACAATAAAGACTTGTCACAGATACCATATGGCCCGCCGAACTAGTTATTTACTTTCTGACTCTTTATGGTAACCATTGTATGGAGCCCTGCTCTAGACAATAGCTTCAAAAACAGATAATGTAGTATGCCAGCTGGTCAACCTACCTCTTTTTTATTTGACTTTAAAAACTGCTTTTCTTCTGTGTGCAGTAGGAATTTCTCCTTTTTTCTCAGTTTAGGACAAATGGAATCTTGAGAAGAACATCCTGTGAACCACAAAGCACTGAATGACTGGAAATATGAGCAATGTTGGACTTCCACTGCTGTTGACTACAGTTAGAAGTGACAGACTCCGGGACTTTCCGTAGGAAGACCTGACATAATCGCTATACCTTAAGATCCCCTTGTGGCTACAATAGTTGGGCCCTGAACATTGAACTCATAATCTACAAAATTATTTCTTCTCTCAATAAACATTACTTACAGCCTATTGTGGCTGGAAGGCTTTTTAATAAAACTATCTATTAGACTGTAAAAGAAAACCATGGAGCAGTCTTTTCATTGCTTCTTTGCTTTCCTGGAAACATTTCACCCTTTCCCACAGGGCAGGCCTATGTTTCTAACCACATTCCCCTTTGGGAATATTCCTAAAGAACATCTGGATGCAGTGCCCTCTGCGTTCAGCATGCCAAACTCCAAGGATCCACTTTGTACAGATGATTTTCTGGAGATACCCTTGACTTGGGGAGCTTGCTCAGAAAGGGTACCCCTCATCAAGGCACAAGGTATCTTCCATTCAAGCTGCAGTTTAGAAGCGCTTGTGAGTATATTACAATAGTTTCTTTTGAAGCATGCATCCTCTGTATTAAAAGTATGGGAGCCCATTTATCTTCTGGGCAAATAGCCCTATCCAGGATAAGGGTCCAGTTTTAGTTCAGAAAAAAATCACCGAGGTTGATGTGAGAAGACAGAAGAAGTCCTTGGCCCTCTGTGATCAAAGAATCAGGTGAATGGACGTAAATGAAACAGCCCTGGCTAAATGGAAATCTGTGAGCACCTGTCATGGAGAGGGCTGTGTGGAGGGCATAGCAGGGATTTCAGATGTCTGAATTAATTCACAGGAGTATGGAGAAATCAGGCCTTATGCCCTTGGGCTTAAAGTCCAAGTCTGGAAAGTCTCTAAGGGATTTTGTTAAAGCACAGCTTCTGATCCAGGTAGGCACTGAAATTATACATGTCTGGTCAGTTCTGGGGTGATGGCTATGTTGCTAGTCCATGGATCACACTGATGGCTATATTGCTGGCCCATGGAACATGCACTATATGTCAAGGACACTAGTCATCCGACTCTAGGGTCTAAGAATATGTTTCATGTGGGTTTGTGGTTTGAGCAATTTGAGTTCAATGTATTTATCAATCAACATTTAATTTCTGAACTCCTCCTCAGTAGTTTTAGGGTTGAAAGCTAGTGGCATTCCAGGATGCAGAATCAGGAAAGGAGCTGCAAAGGTCTAGGAAAATGACTGGGTTTTCTAATGGAGGCAGAGGGGGGTCACTGGAGACTTTGACAGAGGTTCTAGGTCCCAAACACCAATGTAAGTCAGCTTTCTTGTTCAGATGCGGAACCTGAGCCAGATCCAGCTGTCAGAAAAATCAGAGGAGAATACAACTCCATCTCCCGAGCTTTTGTTTTTCATCTGCAAAGCTTTCTCTCAGGTTTCCAGGAGCCATGAATAAAATAGTCCATGTGCTTTATGTCAGCCTCTAGAAGCAAGCCCTGGGCTAATGATTAATATGATAGCAATTTACTATCCATGGCTCATGGGCAGAAACAGGAGGTGGGGCTAGAGGCGAGGCATAGTAAGGGAAGAAGCGAGAGAGGTGAGGATTACCGATGCTCCCATGAATCCATGTGCATGGTGGTCATCAACAGGGAGAAAAGGCTACCCTGATGGAAAGGTGATCACCAACATTCCCTTTGGTCCCCAGATGCCTGTCCTGGGATTTGACACAGAAAGTAATGTTTCTATGTGTGAGTGACCACTCTTCACTGCTATTCATCATTGATTGGATAGTCTCTCTGGGTTCTGTCCCTCATCTGTAAGAAGACAGGTCCTCTACCTCTATTATCTGTTAGTGGTTTAATATACCCCCTTAATATGAGATGAACTAGCATGGAACCTAGATATATGAATTGATTCATAATCAGGCTGTAAATGCTAAGACACATTGTGTAAATTCACTAACCCCTATCACAGTCTATCCTTCCATCCTCTTCAAAAGATACCAGACATAATGTTGCTTGGTATCTTTCATCCTGGTTTTATTTTTTCTGATGTATGTGGTACTCACCTAGCTGCTGCCTATATCCATGGGACATCCTCTCTTTCTCTCTCCCTCCCCTCCTCCACCCCAACTCTCTCTCCTTTTTCTTTCCCCCTCTCTCCTTCCCTCTGTCTATATCATCTTCCCTTTCTTCTTCCCTTGCTCTTCCTCTCTTTCCCTCCTGCTGTCATCTCTCTCTCTCTCTCTCTCTCTCTCTCTCTCTCTCTCTCTCTCTCTCTCCCTCTCTCTCTCCACACACAAATACATACACATAATTTAATTTGTTCATTAATGAAAACCAATGTACCCCTTTCCTCTGATTTTGGAGACTATACTTCTTTGGCTGTATAGGGTGGGACAGAAGGCAACATCAATTATATTCAAGTGGGATTCTGATGTTGCTAATTACCAAGATGTGGCTAAGACCATTTTTTAAGCAATGATTTGGCTCATTTAAAATTCCTTTGTTTTCATTTTCAGAAGAAAGGAAAGGGAAGAAAGTCAACAGGATAAAAGAACAAAAGAAGCTCCCGTAGCAGGACAGGATCTTTGCCAGCATGTTTAAGAATCTACGTTGTGCCAACTGCCAGACAGGAAGGGACTGGGTAGTGAATGGAAGGGATGGGAGGAAGAAGCAGGAGTCACACGATGCCTTCTGCGTGAATGGCAAGATGTCAGAAAATCTGAATTCTGAAGTTTTGCTTCATTTAGTAAGACAGTTATGTCCAAACGGTTATCTGACTGCAGTGGAGTCCAACCTGGACAGAGCGCCCCAGCACAGTGCTGGTAGGCAACCCTGCCATGCTGGGTAGATGATTCCTTGTGGTCAGAGGGCACCATAGCAAGCAGCAGGTAGAAGCTCAATGAGATAGTACCAATGAAGGAAGCAAGAAGGCTCGGTTACCAACTCTAGAATACCGCCATGGCCTGCTTTGGACAGGGTCTACTATGAGTTCAGGCAGGGAGGCACTTGTCATCAGGAAGACAATACGGCAGTGAGGACTGGAGGACCTAGCCTCATAGCTGTTGCTAAAAGTATTGTTCTCATCACCACAAATGATCTTGGGAAGTTGCACCACTGTCCTTAGTGGCAGCAGAGACTAAAGGGGAACCGACCAGGGGGAAGGTGCAATGTTAACTATAATGCCATGTTAATTTCTAAGGATGCCTTAACAAAGTGTCATAAACCCAGTAGCTTAAAAATAAACAATTCGTTCTCCTGCACAACTCCATGATCAAGGTGTCAGGGTCACTCCCCACAGAGTCTGGGGGCAAGTCTGCTTCAGATATCCTCCCTGGTTTCTGGAGATTATGGCAGTTCTTAGACTCTAGTGATTTGTAGTCCCATCATTCCAATATGCATGCACTGTCTACAGCCTTATGATGAGTCTTTGCCTCTTCTTTCTCTCCCTTCCCCTGCTCCTTTTCTTCCTCTTATTCATAGTCCTCTTATCCTTTTATTGTTACTGTCTATCATCATCTTCTTCTTCAGACTGGTGTCACTAGAGTAAGCCCAAGCTTATTTTATTAGGACCTCATCTCAGTTTAATGAATTACATCTACTGCTTCCCTGTATTAGCCAAGGTTTACCAGAAAAGAAAATCAATAATACATACATATCCTATATTTACAATTTATATCTCTACTATTTGCATCACCTGCACATCTCTGTATCATCTATATATCTATCCCTATCTAATTTATATCTATATCTCTTTCCACATATCACTATATCTATAGAAATTGGTATTAAAAATTGTGGTAACTGAGAGTTGCCTAAGACCTGTATTTGTAAAGCTAGAGATAACAGAGGTCCCATACATTGTCCTCCCTGAATCAGAAGCCAGAATCACAGAAAACCAGTGAGTGGTACATTGTTTCAGATCAAGTCCCAAAACTGGAAAGGGCCAGTGTGCTAACTCAAATCAGACTATCAGAAGCAGCTGCTGTACTCAGAAGAGGCCTGTGCTTTCCAGCCCTTTAGCTGGTGGATGCTAGCCTCTCACATTAGGGGAGAGCCATCTGCTTTGTACACATGAGCACATGCACACACAACACAAGTGCACTCACACTGTAAGAATCGGTTTGTGTGATTGAGCCTTCAGGAGAAGCTGTGAAGTAACTTCTGTAATTCAGGTCGGTTTTTATCAAATATCTGAGTATCAGAGACTGATGGTACCAGTTTGTGAATAAGTTTGAATCAGTGAACCCATACACCAGTGTCCCTGGCCAGAAGATGACAGAGACTCCAGGTCCAGAGTGAATTCACTTTTTCGTGGCTTGAGAACTTTCTGGAACTGGACACATTCAAGAGTTCACACCTACACTGGTAAGGGTGAATTCTACTCAGTGTAATCTCTACCAGAAACTCTTATATATACAACCAGAAATAATGTTTGCCAGCTATCTGGAATTCATTTAACACAGCTGATACATAAAATGAATTATTACTACTTATATTTCCAAGTAAATTCTGAAGTTCTGGGTAGATATGCCTTTGGTGTACCCCTTAACCCAGTCAAATCACGAAAATAGATCAAAGCTCTGTGGAACAATATAGAAACCTCTTGAGACAATAAGGGCAAGCTTTATTCTCTGGTTTTGGAATCATGATTTAACAATTCCATCTACAACCATAATGCATGATAAAATTGTGTTTCTAGATCTGGTGATAAAAGTTGAGGTATGATGGCTCCAGCCCCATGTATTTAGAGCAGAATTTCAAGGGACAATTCATGTGTTTTGGCTGAAATGTGTTCCAGCCTCACTCATGGGTCCTAGGTAAATTAGTACACACATTCTTCACCTGGCCAAGCTTATATTCCCACGTAGAAAAGGCCTTTCCCCTTCCTGCCTCTGTAGTGATACCAGATTGCACTGACTTTTCCGGTGTAATTCAGCCTTTCACATATGAGGACGCATTGGGTACCCTCAGAAATCCTGCTCTAGGCTTTCAACCAAGCTTGGCTGGATTCTTTTTCAGATAGTTTTGTAAGTTTACAACATCTCTGTACGTTTTGAACACCTCCGGGAGGTGAGAAAACTTGGAGAGATAAACAGGGGCTTTCAGAGGCTGCCAAGGACAGGGATGCAAAACTCACAGAACAATTCTGACACAGGAGGGCACAGTCAAGAAGGAGGATGGAATTATTAAATTATTAATCTAGAGGTGTGGATGGTGAGCTAAACTGATAATGACGTTATGGGGAGAAGCAGATATAGCCAAAGAACCCTGAGAGACCAGTGCACTGGGTTCAGACAAATCCAGAAACTCCAGTAGAATGCCAGAAAAGCCAGAGGCCATGAGGAGCGGACCATCTCTCAGACTAGGATGGACAGAGCAGTCATGAGGTGATGCCTGCAGCTTCACTCAGGAAGCTTGCTCTTGGCCTTCAGAAGATGTGTGCTATATGTTTAACCTATATGTACTCTGTACGCCTGTTACCGTGAAGCTTCGCTGTCAAATAATCTTTCTCTTGTGATTTAATGTTCTTCTAGGAAGCTGTGTAGCCGACACTAGAGAAAGCAGAACACAGCAGAAAGGATGAAGAGACAAACGACAAGGGCTTGTTTGCAAGTTAGTGTGTTACAAATAAGACATTCTCAATTCTCTCCTCTGGCTGAGATATCTAATGAAGGTTGTCCTACTGTGTATATGTTTCTCTTATTGGTCAATGAATAAAACACTCTTGGCCAATAAAGCAGGAAGATAGGCGGGACTAGGAGGAGAGGAGAATTCTGGGAAGGGTAGGAGAGTGGAGGCAAGATACTGCCGGAGGCCCAGGCATTGGTGATGCACGCCTTTAATCCCAGCACTCGGGAGGCAGAGGCAGGCAGATCTCTGTGAGTTCGAGGCCAGCCTGGTCTACTAGAGCTAGTTCTAGGACAGCCTCCAAAGCCACAGAGAAACCCTGTCTCGAAAAACAAAAAAACAAACAAAAAAGATACTGCCGGAGGAGTAACACCATGCTGGCCATTACCAGGTAAGCCACAGTCTCGTGGCAATACATAGATCGATAGAAATGGGTTAATAATTAAGACAGAGCTAGCCAATAAGAAGTCCTAGCCACCAGCCAATAGTTTTTATAACTAATATTGTGTCCGTGTGTTTCCTTGGAACAGAAAGGCGGCTGAGGAACTGGGCTGGAAATCTTGTTACAGATATCTGCCTTGCCCTAGTAGTTAGGAATAGTGCAATGATAGTTCATTTTTCAGTACATAAAGCATACACAGTGATGTCACTGGGTCCCTTCACCAGTCCTGTGACATAAGAACCCATATTATAGCTAGAAAGATGACCAGTTGGAACTGGAGGGAACCCTCCCATCTGTACTATGCTACTCTGGCATGCTGGAGAGAAGGGCCTTGACAAACAGGTCTGTAAGCCTTAGGGACAGGCAGCCAGCAGGTGACTTTCCATTATGGCTCAAAGCGAAGCCGGAGAAACCCCTGATGGGAAAACTGACAGCACAGTTATTGGACTAGGGTTGAAGGGCCTGAACTCTCACTTGCCTCTAAAGACTGCAGACCAACCCGAGGTGGGAGTAGCTCGCCACCACAGCCCTTGTGGCTTAATTAGTCGCACCAGACTCCAACCTTGTTCTCTCCGGGACACTGCTACTGTGTAGCTTTCTCAGCTTCTCATTCTGTGACAGACTCTTTTATCCCAGCTCCCCAGGGCCCTGGGATGTCACATAGGAAAAGAAGAGGGGGTACCGGGGATTCTGTGAACACAGTTCTGCCGCCCCACGTGTTCCTGGTTCTCACTGCTTTCTTCCCTGCTGCGGTTCCTGGGTGGTCCGCGGGTGAAACATTCAGAAACATTTCGATTCCATGCCTGCTCACCAAGGTGTGGAAGCCACAACTTTGTGTCTCACTCACTTACAGCCATGGTAAAAAGAAAAAGAGAAGAAAGAAACAAATTTAGTAGATGAAGAAACAAAAGAAACTCCCCGGGGGAGGGGGTGGGGGGGGGCCTGAAAGGAGACCCTGTCAATACATCAAAGCCTCCCAGACACTGACAAGGCGAAGACACTGCCCAACACATATCATACACAGACTTTGAGGAGCAAACAGGAGCCAAAGCTGGGGGAAAAAAAAAACTTGCTCTAAATTTCAGAGAAGTGCTTCTTGCTGGCTTTAGCTCCAGCATGTTAGTAAGAGGGACTCCAAGTGACTGTCAGAGATTAAACACTCAACAAAAATCCAGCAAACTGCACGGGCAGGAAGAACCCCCCCCCCTCTTTTTTTTAGCTTTTGCTCCAACACACAGCTCTAGCTGGCACAAAGACACTTCCAGGTGGGGTCCTTGGGCAGGTAAAGTGAGGAGTTGCGTCCAGCTTTGTCAAAAGCTTTGCTGTCCCGCTCCGCCACTGGGAAAAGAAAGCAGGTGTCAGTGCCCAGCACTGACCTCGGTGGGAGCCCTGGAGCCAGTGAACTCCACTGCGGTAGGAACCCCCACTCAACAGGCTTGCTGCACACCACACGTGGCTCTCAGACTCCACCGTCCAGCTTCACATCTCGCTGGCTGTGTGGGAGACCCGGGAGTGGAAGGAGTACTTCAAGCCCTTACTTCAACTACCAATTATGATTTGTCTCAAGATTCCAGACACTTGGGCTGCCTTCTGACGTGGATGAGGACACGGGGGAAATAGGACTAAGAGGGAAAAAGAGAATTGAAACCCATTTAAAGTAGGGCTGCTGGCTCAATTTTTATTTAATTTCAACTGCCAAGAGGGAGAAAATAAAGAGACTTCACTCCTTCAATTGCACCCTTTTCTCCTAGACAGGGTACTTCCCATTGCCTCTTCAGGGCTCCTTCTTGGTCCTCCAAACTCCGGGAGTGATGCATGTATCAGCCTTTGTCAACAGTGGGGACTTCAGGATGAGAGGTCCTTGGTAGAGTGGATTGGCAGCAGCCTCGCAGGAGTTCAGAATTAAGGACTCTGAAGGAACTTAGAAGAGAAAGAAGGACTTTCATTTTTAAGGCTCTGAGAGTCTTTGCTCCTTCTTCCCGTGCCCTTGAGTTTGGAGGGGGCAGATGACAATGCAGAGGAAACCATCTCCTTTCACTTGACCAACAGGAATAACCAGTCTCCATAAAGATTCATGAATAAGAGATTGTATGTAATCTTTGTGCTATGAATTATGCAGAGCCTGTGGACAGAAAAGAGGCCGCTTCCCACTGGACTCACCCCTGCCACATTCGCTGTCACTTCCCTCATCCTGGCCGTTCTACATCGCAGATGCTTCAGTCATTGGGGAGGGAGGAAGGTCCAGGAGAAGAGGTCTGTTAAGATCAAACATCCTTGACTTTGGTGGACTCAGAAAACTCTCAAAATTCCTTTCCCTTGATACCAATTTCAAATTACCTAAACTAATTTCCATTTCAGAACTCCTGGCAGAGACTTCGCATTGCAAATTCTAGTTGTTGTTAACCAAGGGAAAAATATGGAAAATTGGAAAACCAGCCTGTTTAGAAAAGTATTGGGCAGATAAAGAGAGAGGAATGGAAATTCCTTACATGATGGCTAGTGGGTGTCTTTGATAAGTTTCTGGAGTTGGCACAAAATGCAGCTGTCACCACATTAAGCACTTCTAATCGTTTGAATGAACCTGGGTGCCACGCCTTGGGTATATGCTACTTTCTGAGAAATACCTTCAACAGAAATATTGGAGTCTAGCTTCATTTTCATAGCAGTTCTGAAATCACTGAGGATTCCAGCAGTAGCAAGGCATAGGCTAGAGCCTACATCCCTCATCTTGCACAAACCAAAGATATCTAAAATTGGACAGTTGGTTCCGGCCATGTTGTTCACACCAACATCTTGGGCAAGATTTGCTTTGTGTGTCTGTTTGTTTTTGAGCCTTATTCTCACTATATCATCTCAAACCCATGATCTTCCTCCCTTGGCTTTGCACATAGTGCCGGCTTTGAACCATATTTTTTTCTATTTTCAGGATTCTCTGGAAAGTAGAGCTGTAAATTATCACCTATGGGGCATGTCCACCACAAAACTCTTTATCCCACTTTTGCTCTTCTCTGCACAGAATGTCACAATAGATGACACTGAGTAAAAGACTAATCATTTCTGTCCAGCAGAGCCTCATAACATTCCAGCACTATACATAATGTGTCATTGTACCTTCTTCTACATCTAGATCTTGCTATCCTTATGTAAGCTCACAACGTAAGAGTTGTTTTATGTGTGTCGTTTTCAAGTTTTAAAAAGGGAGAAGAGAGATTAATATTTTGAGTGTGTAACATATGCCGTCACATCATATAATTCATTTTCATGCTGGCTTAGTGAAACAGGTGTGGTGGTGGCGATTAAAGAGCTCAGGGCTGAATGATTTGCCCTGATCTCGCATTTGAAATGTCTCTGTCTGGAAGCTGACTGGAAGCATGTCAAAGTCCAGGTGCTTTCTAAATCTATAGCCTCTGCCCCAAGGGAGATTTCAATCTTGCTTGGGAACCTAGTGGGTGTCTTACCATCTAAAAGCAAATGCATCTCATCTCCACCATCTCTGTTGCAGAACAGGTGCCTTCCCTGTCTCTTTGCCCTCTGATTTATTTTCAAGATGGCCTTAAATTTTTAATGGTACTCCAAACTTAAGACAAATAACATTCAATCCCTTTGGGGAATGTTTATTTTATCTCAAAGCCCTGGGCTTCCATGAAAGTTGTCTTAGGATTGGGACCTGGGTGAAGGGAGAAATTCCTCACTGCTGCCAAAGGCAGACACTCCCCAGGTAAAATAATCTGTTCCTAGATTCAGGTGCAATGAGCTGTATTATCCATACTGTATACTGTAATCCATTCCTGCGTCCCAAGGGATACCTATCATAGACTGAATATTTTGGAAGTTTTCTTTAATGCCTTTTGTGATCAAATAGTGTGTTAGGATAGTGAGTAAGTCATGAGGAAATTGGCAGTTATCCCAGAGTAATCTGGGGGGGGCTGGGATTCAGCTAAGCAACCATTCAAAATGTAAGTAATTAAAATTAATTAAAAATCATTAAATAAACCTTCACTTTTGCAATTTAAAGAGGCAACCCAAGTCACCAGAGCTCATAAAAGATGTGCGTGGCATCAAATCTACGTGAAGCATTTTCTTGACCCGAGCACTGACTATGGGACATGTTGGAAGAAACAGAACACAAACCTCAAAACTCAAATACATCTTTACTTTTCTCAGTTCACTCCAGACACATAGCAAGCTCATTCTTACATCCTAGACAGTACAGCATCCTTATTCCCCAGTCCACCCTGCTGGCATATCTCATATTGCAGGTACTGACAGCAGAGGCTCTGTAGCCACAAGCCCTAGTCAATCTTGCTTCTTCAGTGTTCTGTAACATACACTGAATAAAAACGTGATACGTCCTTATGCATTGTATGAGGGTATCCCAATGGAACACATGGGTAGAAACATAGATGCCAGTCCATGTGTGTAGTTATCAGACTTAACTAGTGCCAACTTATCCATTCACTCTCTGATCATAGATCAACAGTATTTCTTCTGTTATTCTCAGGTGCTCAGCATTCCCCCAAGGTCCCTGATATCCAGCCTATTGCAAAGCAAAATCAGGTGTTACTCTGAATTCCTTGCAATCCAATTAGGATTGATGGAAAATATACCAGAATCCACCAACACCATCTAATATACAACTGGAAAATAATCACTGCCAGTAACCCTGATAGTGTTTGACTCTGAAATGTCCCTCACAGGCCCAAGATTTACATGCATATTCCTCAGCTAGTGGTTGTAAGGATTCAGGCATTATGATGGCCAGCCCCTGTCATCTAGCAGAAGGCACTCAGGCAGTGCTCTGGTCAGCCCAGGTGCAAGGGACCCCTATAAAAGAAAGACCCCTGCCTACTTATACTCTCTTTCTGATCTCTCTTTCCAGCTCTCTTCACCATTCTCTTTCCTGCTGTTCCCCTGGAGCAGACAGGGCTTTTCCCATCTTCCTCTTCTCTTCTGTCCTCTCTCTGTCTCTGTGTCTCTTTACCTCTCTTGTCTTTCCTTCCCCCTCCCCTCCTCTTTCTAACAAAACTTCTCACTCAAGTTCTGTCTGCCTGGCATTCTTGTCCTTCCACCTAGGTCACCCTCACCTGCCATGGAAGCCACCAAAGTCCCCCCCTATTCAAGGCACCACTCTCTCTTTATCATAACAGTGGGGAGTCTGTGGAACCTACAGGAAGCATGGCCTCGTTGGAAGAAACAATCGTTTGGGTGAATCATTCTAGGTTATGCTTGGTCCCTGCTTCTTTTCAAGCTCTCTCATGTTCTCTCTGCTTTCTGGTCAGTCACGATGTGAACAGCTTCTATCACACCTTGCCTACAGGTGTGGACTCTGCCTTGCCTTCCTCACCATAATGGACTGAACCCTCTAAAACTGTGATACAAAATAAAACATTTCCTCCTTTGAGCTTTTCTATCACACATATCATCAGATTCACACAGAAGTAACGGATGTAAAATAAAAGTTGGGATTAGGTAAAATGCCGAATGAAAGAAAGCATTTAAAATAAAAAAATAATAATCCTTGTCTATAATCACTTCTGAGAGGATTAGAACTCAATATATCAGGGCATGTTAGGCATGAGTTGACCTCTATAGAGCTAAGCCCTCTTTCTCAAGATCACAAACAAGTGAAAAAAAATTAATCACATAATTTCTTAACTCCATTTTTGTTGAAGTGTAATCACATTTATTATGCTGAGAACAGATATCCAGGTGAGCATATTCTTTATGCAGACTGGAGAAGCTGAAGGATTTGAAAATCAAGCTATAGTTTTGACTAAAAGAGCCAAGTAAATTTATTCTGAAGGAGAGTGTGAAGGATTGAGGAATGAAAATAATGGCTACTCTCGGATGCTTCAAGAATCTTTACTTAAGGAGACAAATGGGTCTTGGGTAGTATTATTTTCTTTTTTGATAGAGACTCCTAGCAAATAATAATGTAACACAGATGTAAAAAGAACTGGAACAATAAGAAGAAAGAGACGTTCTCAAATTGAAGCAGAAAGGTCCAGAAGACAGAGTAAACTCCTTCCACTCCTTCACAGACAGGTGCAAAGGGGTCCCCAGAAACTCTGAGCTCAATTCTACTTAGCTGAAACCGAAGTGGGTCTGAGGTCAGAGGTGAAATGTCTAGGTCAGTACACGGAAGAATTTTCTAAGAATTAAAGATGGCTGGCCGATAAGGAAATGAGATGTTTTGTGTGATGCAGTAAAGCCTCTGCTGTTGGAACGTTCAAAGAAACCAGTGTTAGGATTGCAATAACAGTCTTCTGAAGATTTGGTGATGGTGACATTACCTCAAATTCAGCTTGGCTCCAGGAACCTTTCACAAGTGGAATCTATTCCCAGCAGTGGGAAACCTAAGATCTTACCTGATTCTTCACCTTCAAGTTGTAGCAAGGATAAGACTTAGTTGAGCGTCAAGAACAGCTTTGGATGCAGAGCTTTTCCCAAATGAAACACAGGTGTTTCTTCTTTCCACATGTGCTGAGGAAACCTCACTTCCATGAATCAGCACTCCAGAGGAAGCCATTGCCTGTGAACCTGCCCTGCTTGGGGAAAGGGAACCACTCAGAAGATGGGATATATGCCTCTTGATGGGAACCTCAGGAACCTATTTGTAGAGAAGTCATCTTTCCATCTGTGTCAGCGGTTCTCAAACCTCCCTAATGCTGTGACCTTTAGTGCACTTACTCATGTTGTGGTGACTACCCCAAACATTATTTTCACTGCTACTTCATACCTGTAATTTTAATACTTTTAGGAATTGTAACATAGACATTTTTTGAAAACAGAGGTTTCCCAAAGGGGTATTGACTTACAGGTTGAGAACAAATGATTCATATGGCTTTCCTACCCTTTGCACACCATAATTCCTGCAAGAAGTGTACTGTTTTGATTTGATTTGATTTTCAGATAGAGCTTCTTATTACCCTGGATGGCCTCAAAATCACTATGTAGCTGAAGGTGGCCTTTAACTATTAATTCTGTTGCATTCGCTTCCAAATATGAGGGTTATAGGTGGGTACCACCATATCAGGCTGGGTACTCAGATTATTTTAACATGAATACTTGTAGTAGTATCTCACCTTGCTAGTGAATTTTTGTCAGTGGCCACACCCTTTGGGCATGGCTTAAGGTGCGAACGTGACCAGAAGGTCAAGGAGGGCAAGGTGAGCTCGTTCTCACTTGCTATGGGTTAGACTGTATCCCCCCAGGAAAAATGATTTGTTGAAATTCTAAGCTCCCGTAATTAAAAAGGTGTTCTCATTCAGAA